CTCCCGCCGATATCACGCGTTCCTCTTCCTCCTCCCGACTTCTCGATTTACGTTCGCTGTATGGTCCTGTTGCGTGGCTCAGTGGCGTAACTCCCATCGATACTTTTAAGACTTTTATCCCGGATAAACGCGCAAAAAGTCCTCGTAATTATCCTATACGGTTAGTCGAACGAATTGAAAAGTGCACATCTGCGCGAATGAACGTGATATTCGTAACCAAGGGGAATCTCGCTAGTAGCAGTTCGAAGCAGTGCAACTTTATTGTTTGCGAGGTAACGGAACGAGGGAGGGTGTAAATAGTGACGGATTTTTTTCTATCTTTCCTACTAGCTAATTTCAAGTTTACAAGATATGATTTTTCAGTAAAAGAGTACTTTCCACTTTTAAATATGTATAAAACTTAATTAGAGTTTCCATGAGTCATGTATACGGGGTTTTCATAAAAAACTAAAACCTACATTTGCCTCATCTTTTGGGTAAATAGTGGGTAAGTGTCCCACCCTATGGGACAATTACAAAATACATAATTCTTAACTCCTAATCGATCTTTCTTTTGACAATTTGATTAGCTAAAGTAATTTATATTAATTTCTTTACTCTGCCATATGTAAATTTTTATTTATTGGTAAATAATAGTAGTAATATTATTTGCTAGTATTTCTTATTAAAAATCACATTTATTCTGGATCTTGTCATTAGAAAAGCTTTTCTAATATTTGTCATTATTTATCCAACTAAAAATTGTCATTATTTGCCCCGGGAGCTACTTTTTTGTTTAATATTTTACTGAGAGGAATAAAATTAATACAAGCATAGGAATTATATCAAAATAGAGGAAAAAGATACCGTATGACATAGAATAGGTTAGATTTCATTCAACGATTCAGTAATTTAAAAAATATAACTTCAAATATCAAAAAAAGATACAGGTTTTATCTGATTTTACGAAAGCAAAATTTTAAACTTTTCCGCTAGCTATATTTGGCTTTTGATTTTTACTGCTTTTTCAGAAGATGATTAGATGCTTGAGAACTATCTTTCTATTAATGCACGGAAAAAACAATTTTGCTGAATCCAGATCTGAAAATAATTTTTGTTCAATAATCAAAATTATTTTGTGCGAAAGTCAAAATGATTGGTAGAATATCAAAACGTTTTATAGCAATACTCAGTTTTAACATTTCAACAAATTATTTTGATGATTCAATAAAAAATTATTTTCAGATTTGTTTTTAGCAAAATTTTTAGGTCTTTCAATAAAATCGTTTTTTCCGTGTGAGTGGTAAAATAAACGCGGGAAAGAGGAGAAATTCAAAGTGACACTATTTGCCCCTCTCCCCCTCCCTTCTCTTATGCACTTCGATTCGTGTTTCCCAAAGAAAGCGCGTCAACACGAGGAAACATTGTCGAAACTTATTCTTTTCGTGCCATTCTGTTTGACGAAAGATTCCTAATCAATCGTCTCAACCGGCGGAAGGGGTGGGGAGGGGAGGGGGAGGATTAACTTAATTCCGGAAGTCTGCAGCTGCAGCATTCGCGTCGCCGCTAAATGAGAACTGTTTGTAACCATATGAGCTAAACCGACGTCGAGGCCTCCATCTCAATTTCTTCTCTCCCGGCGCGTTATCTCCGGCGGAATGCACACCGGGAAATACGTGACGGGTCTCTTATGGTTTCGCAGTCGGAGTTCCGGGCAATGGTTACGCTACTGCCGGGGGAGAGAGAGAGAGAGGGAGAGAGAGACAGAGAGTGCGTAAAAGAGCCCCGCGTATAGGTCGCCTCGGGTGTTCGGCCGGGCACGTATAACGCGCAAAACGATGAGCTAGCGGGGCTGACGCGCCTAATTAAGTATGCTAATCGTCAGGCTAAAACTCGTTACTCGTACGAACGAGCCTGGAAATCCACGGGACGCGCGCAAAAGGACTTCTCGCGCGCGCATCGCGCGCACCGCGTGAGAACCCGCGCGGTTGATCGTAACGAGCGGACGCCGCCGCCGCCGCCGCCACTGCCGCCGTCGCCGCTGCCGCCGCCGTTCGGCGTGCCCTTAACGATATAGCGAGAGAGAGAGAGAGAGAGAGAGACTCCTCTTACACCGCCTCTTCGCGGTCGTAACGAACTTCCGATCCACACACGGTCTGTAATGACGCTCCCGGTATAAATGCATTCGCGACCGCCGTCGCCGCGCCGAGTCGGAGAGTATCCCTCGTTTCGAGTTATCGCCGACGGATAATGGCATCGCCATCCGAGCGAGCCATCGAGCGTGTCGCGCGATTTATCCCCCCGATTACCTAATCGCCGGCTGTTCATGCCGCAATTAAATAGTCAGCTATGCAACGACTCGACTTATAAGCGCGCGATTGGACTTCGCATTGACCTTAATCGTCGCTAATTTAGATTGCGAAATGAGGATCGACAAAACGAAAATCCCGTCTGGGTTTGTGCGATACGTTTTTACACTCGCGTGTCTTAATACCCGCGACGCAAAATCATTGGTGCGATGCCTCCCCATCCCCTCCCCCCCCCGTCCCCCGGTCGATCACGTTTCACGCGCGAAAATTATCGCGGCGAAAAGAGACTTTCAATTTACATCGCACACGTGATGATTGTCGATGAATTACACGTACCGTTGGCTAAATTTATTTAGGCAGAATTATCTCCTCATTAAATAATGAACTCGCGATCGTGGCGCGATAAGCACGAATATAGCTGTCATCATTTAAAAACTACGGACTACAGTTATATTTTCTCACATTCTGCCAGATTACGAGATAGCATTGTTCGGCGTCGTATGTACAGAGACGT